TAATAATGGATAAGGGGTGTCAATTATTCTAAAGTATTTAAGGATCAATATAAGGAAATACAACCCACCAAATTTATTTTACACAGCCATATCCAGAAGAAACCAGCGTTCAGCCCAATAGTTATGACTGGGCCAGCCCTCTGAAAATCTTGATGTATGTTGCACAATATCTCCACGCGACCACTTTGATCATCACAATTTATGCCCTTGTATAATTGTATTATTCGCCGTGCAATCTATACAACAGTCAAAACATATAAAAAGGGACCGGATCGTGGCCGTTCAATTTTCCAAATCACATTCGTTTACCGTGTGCTCGCCCGTATCAAGCAATAAATCAGCTCGCTTTCTACTTTCTCCTCCGTTTGTAGTCTGCACTTTCCAATCTCTCTCATTTCTGGTTCTCGATAATTACCAGCTGCGTCGCCGGCTAATCACAGCACCTTGGCTTGTTCGACATTATATGCCATCATGGTGCTTTGTTTGAATTTGATTTTTCCTTGTAAAATGAATTCCAGGTGTGTAAACCAAGGATTAATGACTTGCCGTTTTCTGCTAAATGTGGAATGAGTACTAATTTGGTATATACCGTGGGTCATATAACATTAGCTTTCAGATCCCTGTAAAATGATTCTCTGAGTTCCATATGCAACATGGGTGTTCTTTAACAGATATCAATGTCATTGTTTACAAGGAAAGGTTTCCTTCTGCAATTCCCTCTATTTTTCTTTAGTAATCATGCATAGAATGGCATATTAATCATTTTGGTAATTGAACTGATTCATAAGTACGAATGCTAATTTATATTTCAAGCGAACCGTAGCAACCTGCCGCATTACAAATATATAGCAGTTGTACTTTTTTTTTTTCTTCTTCTTCTTTTCTCTTTTAGGCGTTCTGTTTTGATTTGTTGCTACTTAATATGATGACCGACATGCTATAGGAATTCTGTCCTGTGTTACAAAGATTCCATTATCCAATTTATGTCGGAATGAAGAATAACATAGTTTGGTTTATTTTCTCGTGTTACATTTGCTTATCATTGACCAATCACCTGACGACTTCTTTTCCTGTAGCTCACATGCCAACTTACTTTTGCTTCTTACGCATTTCTCTTTGTGATAAACCAGTACCTTGCTTTACCTATACATGTGCCCCCAGCTTAGAGTGCAGAATCTTGTTGTTTCTTATCATTTCAATACGTTTTCTGGGTTTGAAGCTTCATGACATTCATCTGAAATGTCACTGCAGTATTCAAGCAAGCAGGTTGAGGGCTATGACCTGGCAATGTTAGAAACTCAAAATCACTTTTCCATTGACAAATTTTCATATTTGTGCTCTGAAGTTCAAGAAAGGTACATAGCATGCCTTATTATTTGTCTCCTGAACTTGTTCATTCTAAATTCTTCTTTCTGTACTTCTTATGGTCTCTGTTTAATTTTTGGTTGTCTTTTTATTTTATTTTTTTTCCTGTCCAAGGCTTGCAGTGTAGCATATCAATGGAAATGCATATATTATGTTTTTCACAACTTCCCAATTAGTTAATATGTTTTTTCTTCTTTTTTTTTCGTAAGTGAAAATTTAACTCGGCATATGAAAACTATTCCTGGAAACTTTCCCAACTGTTCTGGAGATGAATATGTTGTGCCTTTGCTCTCTTACAAGCATTCACCTTCATGATCAAAGTTTTTTCCGTGCTGATTATTCTGGCTCTTTCTTATCCAACACAAATAATTGTTGCCCGAGTGGCCAATGATTGTTTGGAAGTGTCAGGTCATTAGCCTGTGGTGGAATTCGGTTCAAAATTGATGAATTGTCTCGGACGAATTGGAGTGTAAAGGATACAAAAGATAGCCAGTCATTTGGTAAGTGTGGGTACTATTATCCTTCGCCTATTTTCTTGGAACTCATGCCTTTTTTGTGGTTTGATGATGATACTTTCTAGCAAACGTGGCTGAGTTACTTTACAGTTTACGAGCTGTGACCAGAATCGATCAAATTTGCCACACCTCTAGTATTCTACATCCATAGTGTAATGTTATGTGGTTGAATAAAACTTCTATTATTAAAATTTACATGAACGTTGTACTGCTGTTTGGAGATTATTTGGAGATAAGTGGTACCTTGCTGTAATGTAATATAATGTTTTTTTTTTTTTTTCCTTTCTTGGTGTGTTTAGAAATTTGAAAGCGTGCGTTGACTAGGAATTTATAAAATATATACTTATAGTATTCAAGATGAACCTTGGACGATAAATAAATTTGGAAAATTTATGGGTTGATGGCAAGTCTTAATACACGAAAGTACCTAACATTTGTTCGTTTCTAATTTATGAAAGGACTTCATGCCAGTTACCTAAACCAACAACAATTTTATGTATACCTAAGTAAGTTGAGGTGGTGAAACCCAACTCAATTGAATAATTAACGAGCTTGAGTTGACTGCAAAGTTTTAAAAGTATGGAATTTAACAAGCTTTGATTCATCTTGTATGTACGGTCAAACACTTGAACTTGACAAACTTTGGTGAGGTCAGACAAGAGCTTGTTGAGATAACAAGACTACTAGTAGTTTGAGATCATCTAATGTAATGTAGTGCACAATTCTATTTTTGCTTGAATCAATAATTAATCAACCTATGAGAAGTTAATAAAAAAAAAAAATACACAAAAAACCCTATTCACCAATCCCATCCACGAGCCTACCAAAAGAAGTTTGTTCGCGAGCACTCATACTTGTTTAAATACCGATATATTTTTTTGCACTCTTAAAATCACATAAACTACTAAAATCATATTGGGCTCATCTTAAAGTAAACAGTTAGATTAATGTAAACAGTTTTAATAATGGATAAGGGGTGTCAATTATTCTAAAGTATTTAAGGATCAATATAAGGAAATACAACCCACCAAATTTATTTTACACAGCCCATATCCAGAAGAAACCAGCGTTCAGCCCAATAGTTATGGCTGGGACAACCCTCTGAAAATCTTGATGTATGTTGCACAATATCTCCACGCGACCACTTTGATCATCACAATTTATGCCCTTGTATAATTGTATTATTCGCCGTGCGATCTATACAACAGTCAAAACATATAAAAAGGGACCGGATCGTGGCCGTTCAATTTTCCAAATCACATTCGTTTACCGTGTGCTCGCCCGTATCAAGCAATAAATCAGCTCGCTTTCTACTTTGTCCTCCGTTTGTAGTCTGCACTTTCCAATCTCTCTCATTTCTGGTTCTCGATAATTACCAGCTGCGTCGCCAGCTAATCACAGCACCTTGGCTTGTTCAACATTATATGCCATCATGGTATGCTTTGTTTGAATTTGATTTTTCCTTGTAAAATGAATTCCAGGTGTGTAAACCAAGGATTAATGACTTGCCGTTTTCTGCTAAATGTGGAATGAGTACTAATTTGGTATATACCGTGGGTCATATAACATTAGCTTTCAGATCCCTGTAAAATGATTCTCTGAGTTCCATATGCAACATGGGTGTTCTTTAACAGATATCAATGTCATTGTTTACAAGGAAAGGTTTCCTTCTGCAATTCCCTCTATTTTTCTTTAGTAATCATGCATAGAATGGCATATTAATCATTTTGGTAATTGAACTGATTCATAAGTACGAATGCTAATTTATATTTTAAGCGAACCGTAGCAACCTGCCGCATTAAAAATATATAGCAGTTGTACTTTTTCTTTTTCTTCTTCTTCTTTTCTCTTTTAGGCGTTCTGTTTTGATTTGTTGCTACTTAATATGATGACCGACATGCTATAGGAATTCTGTCCTGTGTTACAAAGATTCCATTATCCAATTTCTGTCGGAATGAAGAATAACATAGTTTGGTTTATTTTCTCGTGTTACATTTGCTTATCATTGACCAATCACCTGACGACTTCTTTTCCTGTAGCTCACATGCCAACTTACTTTTGCTTCTTACGCATTTCTCTTTGTGATAAACCAGTACCTTGCTTTACCTATACATGTGCCCCCAGCTTAGAGTGCAGAATCTTGTTGTTTCTTATCATTTCAATACGTTTTCTGGGTTTGAAGCTTCATGACATTCATCTGAAATGTCACTGCAGTATTCAAGCAAGCAGGTTGAGGGCTATGACCTGGCAATGTTAGAAACTCAAAATCACTTTTCCATTGACAAATTTTCATATTTGTGCTCTGAAGTTCAAGAAAGGTACATAGCATGCCTTATTATTTGTCTCCTGAACTTGTTCATTCTAAATTCTTCTTTCTGTACTTCTTATGGTCTCTGTTTAATTTTTGGTTGTCTTTTTATTTTATTTTTTTTCCTGTCCAAGGCTTGCAGTGTAGCATATCAATGGAAATGCATATATTATGTTTTTCACAACTTCCCAATTAGTTAATATGTTTTTTCTTCTTTTTTTTTCGTAAGTGAAAATTTAACTCGGCATATGAAAACTATTCCTGGAAACTTTCCCAACTGTTCTGGAGATGAATATGTTGTGCCTTTGCTCTCTTACAAGCATTCACCTTCATGATCAAAGTTTTTTCCGTGCTGATTATTCTGGCTCTTTCTTATCCAACACAAATAATTGTTGCCCGAGTGGCCAATGATTGTTTGGAAGTGTCAGGTCATTAGCCTGTGGTGGAATTCGGTTCAAAATTGATGAATTGTCTCGGACGAATTGGAGTGTAAAGGATACAAAAGATAGCCAGTCATTTGGTAAGTGTGGGTACTATTATCCTTCGCCTATTTTCTTGGAACTCATGCCTTTTTTGTGGTTTGATGATGATACTTTCTAGCAAACGTGGCTGAGTTACTTTACAGTTTACGAGTTGTGACCAGAATCGATCAAATTTGCCACACCTCTAGTATTCTACATCCATAGTGTAATGTTATGTGGTTGAATAAAACTTCTATTATTAAAATTTACATGAACGTTGTACTGCTATTTGGAGATTATTTGGAGATAAGTGGTACCTTGCTGTAATGTAATATAATGTTTTTATTTTTTTTTTCCTTTCTTGGTGTGTTTAGAAATTTGAAAGCGTGCGTTGACTAGGAATTTATAAAATATATACTTATAGTATTCAAGATGAACCTTGGACGATAAATAAATGGCCTAATTGCCGGAAAAAGCACGACCTTACAACTTTTTGCAGTTTTAACCAAACTTTTGGAATTTAGCACAAAAAACCTAACCTTGTCTAATGTTTGCAACCCGAACCCAAAATGAAACGGCCGTCTCATTTTTGCCACCGTGTCCGTTAGCTTTACCTATGTGGCCAAACGTGCTGCTGACGTGGTAAACCACTACAAAACAAGTATAAATACACGCATTTTCCCCCAAATCAAACCCGATTTCCCATTTTCTTGACTTTCAGACTTCGAAATTTTTTTTTTCTCTCTTTGAAAACATTGTGGTCCCATTGTTGTCGAAGCTCACAATCTTGTCGTCGAAACGCACAAATTGCGGTCCCATTGAAGCGATTATGACCGACAGGTATGCCAATCCTTTATTTTTTTAATTTATTGTCGAAATTTTGAAATTCAAAGTCATCGTTGGAATTCGAAATTTGCTGGGAACATTTTGTTTGTTTGTGAATTTTTAATCCAGTGTTAATTTTATATTAATTAGTGATCCAGTGTTAATTTTATTTCGAAAGAATGAAAATTTGTTTGTCAATTTAGGGTTTCTCTTCAAATTCGGGTTTTATTTTAAAATTAGGGTCGATCAAGATTAGGGTTTCGAACAATTTTGAATTGGTTACAGTTTATTTATTGTACATTCATTTTGAAATTAGGGTTTCGAACAATTTCAAATTGCTTACAGTTTTTTGTTATTGTAAATCATATTTAAATTAGGGTTATGACAGAATTAGGGTTATGTTAGAATTGAGGCTAATTATAAAATTGTTATTGATTTTTTTTCTATGTTTAATTAATTTCAGAGACAAATTTGCATTGATTGTCAATATTGGAGGTTATTTTGTGAACTGTGGACCTGTTGTGGAGTATATATGTGGTAGTTTAAAG